AGTTTAGCATGTCAGCTTACTAGCCATTTGTCTGGAAGTTGCCTCTTTCTTTGTGCCTGGGATCATTCGTATAAATCATGTGCTTGTCAAACATATTTGACCCAGTTATTGCTTGCATTTCCCTCGAGTCTGGAAAACTGTCTGTATGTTCTCTTGTTCCCCAGATCTCCTAATGGAGGAGAAGTATAGAGGACTGACGAGCTTAAGAAACTACTGCAGTGCTAGATAAATGAAGGTCTTCTCTGTTACAAAGCACCTTAGAGAAGAATTCTAGAGGCTAAAATTTATGCAAATTAGGCATGTAAGGATTTTCAGGCAGACCATATGTGCCTGCATACAAGTCCACAAGTCTCTTTCAAGTCTATTCCTACATGGGACTGGTGTGTTCTGAGAGTATTTGTAAATCCAAGACATACTTGAGGGCCTGTGGTAGGATGCAAAAGAAACCAAACTTTTCTTAATGTTGTGTCAAAAAACAACTATTTGTGAACTGCTGAAAATGTGGATTCAAGCTGTTTTGAAAATGGGGTCCAAAATAAATGGCATTTAAAATATCTGCATTTAAATGCACTATATATGATAGTGCTGGGATTTTTTTTTTTTCCTGAGGTCTGAACAGTCCCTTCAAAAAGATCCTTGCAAATTGCTGTACAAAAATGGTATTTAGTACCATCACATTCAAGAATTTGTTTCCTGTTGAGCTGCAGTATAAAATCATGGAAAACTGTCCTTGAACAGGCAGCATTTGAACATTGTCCCTAAGGCACATACACCATTTATTCTCCTGTTTGCAGTGTTCAGAGCCTGTGGTTTTGGAACCAAGTATCAGGACTTGTTGTATCTCATCCAGCTTTATTTGTTGCAGACCACATTTTGTATGCGAGGAAACAACAGACGAAATAGCCTCCAAAGAAAGGAAGAATGAGATAGTTTCCTAAGTTGTCTTTGCCTGAGTTGGCAGCTGCTCAGGTTCATTCAGCTTTTTGTTCCCCAGTGAGTGCTGTGCGTGTGTAGTAACAATGGGGTGATGCAGTTACACTGTAGGCTAATAGCCGAGTTCCGTCAAATCCATTCATAAATGCAGAGGAGAGTGCAGTGCTGTGAGAGCCAGCCAGCGCACAGAGGAAGTGAGGCCCCCAAGTAATGAGCTCCACATCACAAACATAGCTGTCAGAGCTCAGGGACTGGTGATAGACTGCAGTCATCTGGTTGGAGCCTTGCCCTGACCCTTGCTGCTGCAGATGTGCGACCTGCTTGAGTTGACAAGGGATGCTGATAGCAGCCAGCAGAGCTCCCCTCCAGGCGTCCTCTGCCATGAAGCGGCTTGGTGTAAGGCAGACAAATAGGTTATTTCAGAAAATCCAGTATTTTGATAAGCAATCACAGCATTTAGTAAAGCAGGGTAACATAAATTCACAGCTTTTGTCTAGCAGTTTCAGATATTTGTATACTTGATGGAGAGAAATCAGCAACTTGAAATCTCAAGCTGCATTAAGCAGGGGGGAATGTAAATTAAAGCATGGCATCTGCCCCCTGGATCACCCTGATAGTGTTTTGGCTTTACTGTCACTTTTTCCAGTTCTTCCCTGTTGCTATGAGAAGTACCCACGTGAGCAACAGGAAACCAACAAACTGACTGTTCAAGCAAAGAGTCCAACCAAATCTACAAAATATACTGCTCAAAGTGCTAGAAAAGCTGAAAAATTTCCAAGAAAAATGTGCCAACTTTCAGATACTTCATACTAGTCATATTACATAATCTCTTTGAAATGTTTGGAACAGTAAATTTTTTTTTTTTTTTTCCAGATGGAAATCAGTCAGGCTTATCTGTAATTGATGCTATTTGTCACAGTAGCAGAAATAGTCGCGTTTAGCAGGGTAAATATTTCTGGTTTTAAATTGCATCCAGTAAATGTGAGAGCAGTGAGATAGAATAAATGCAGTAAATGGGCATAATATTCCCACAGCTGCTTTTCAGGATGTTTGGAAGTATGGTGGTGTGCTGATGATCGGTGTTTTGCAAATGAAAGGCTTGGTTGGAGAAGGAGCCCCTGTTTATGTCAACAATGAAGCAGAGGAATCCAGCCCTCTTCTGTATAGATATGTAGGATAGATATGTATGGGAGTATAGATGATACATTCCTCGCTAGAATTACTGTAAATTCCAGCTCTTCAGTGCATGTTTCACTGCTGTTTTCTCAAGTTATCCAAGCAAGGATTACACAACAGCTGAACAGTATTGTCATTTAAAGTATCTTGGGCTTCTCCATTTATCCTATCAAGTCTTGCACCTAAGAAAGTCCTTTTTTCCTTTGTACAATTAGTTTTAAGGAGGAGATATTTAAAGCAGACATCAGGAATGTTAACAATTATTTGTGAAGTTGTTAACCTGTATGTGGAAAGTCGACTGTGCTTTAATACCACGAAGCCAGAAAAATTTTGTAGGGTTCTAAACATTGGGAATTTCAGCACGTGGCAAAGCATCCAGGGTTTAGATCCAGGCTTCTAAATCTTGTTAGGGAATGCGGGAGTGTAAAGAAATACTGGCTACGTGTTTTTTTAGTCACCTGTGTGCATATTTTATGCACATTAAATAATTAAACAATAAACAGTCCTACTGTTGTTCATCTGCTGTTGGTTGTGAAGGTCTGCAGTTTTTGGGTTTAGAAAATCCTTGAGAAATGATCTGCTCCATGACTTGAGCGTTTGCCCTCATACTTGTCATTACAAAGGATTTAATCTCCTTTGCCATTGGCCTAGGACAGTAGTAGCAATGACAGGCCTGCTGAACCCTGCCAACTGCAGTTGTGTTTTCACTGGAGTAGCCAGGCTACGCTTTTGACAGCTGGATGTCCATACTTCCCTGGTAGGGTTCTGAGATACAGCTTTGTGGTTTCTTATTGGTCAATCAGTGCTGCTTATTGAGATTCTGCTGGTGCCCGCCTTAATCTTACACTTCGTGGTAGAGCTAAGATATGTTAAAGGTTATCCAGTATTTAAATTTAACAGAATTAGTGTGGAATTTTGGTAAACAGTAGTGTTGCAGTCTAGTTTATTTCTTAAATGCTGCTATAATGTGTTTTCTCTGAACAGTGGTATTTCTAAGTGAATGCCATTCTGGATGTGCAAAAGCAGGCTGGCTGTGAGGTTCAAACCAGTTTCTGTGCCCCCAAGTGTTTTCCTAAATTTAATTATTGATAAAATAATTAAAATATTGGGAGGCTTGCCAAAGTAAAGCAGAAACTGTGATGCAAAAGGGAAATTGGAAAATTGTGACACACTAAGTACTATGTCCTGAGCCACTGTGGAGAAGACCAGATCCAAGTTCATCACAAGAGCTTACTTCTGCAAGGCAAACCTTCCTGCCTGCTGGAGACAGTGAGCATCAAGTCTGAGAAAAGCACTGATGGTTGCTGACTCTGGTGGCTAGATGCCTGGCAGAACTGGGTGTTATGTGACTTTTCATACCTATCAAGCCCCCTTGCCTTCTGCTTCCTGCTTTCTTTTTTTTTTTTTTTTTTTTTAATCAGACTGGCCATGGTCTTGCAAGATGGAGAAGATGCTTTATGCTTTGCATCTGTTTATTTCAATAAAGCTAGAGAAAATACGTGAACAGATTGTATGAGTTGTGATGAGGTAGTTCTAGAATTTGGAGCAGTTAGGTCTGAAAATTTAGTGACTACCAGTGCAAAGCAAAAGTCTGTTGGTTGGATTGAGTTGAGTGGGATTCCTCACATGATGGCAAATTGCAACCATTGTGGCATTACAAACATTAGTTTCAAAGCTAGGGGACAGTTTAGGTCATATATTAGTATGTTGAAAAGCTCAAGAAAATGAGTTGTATATGATATTCTGTGTGATCTTTACTAGTCTGTTTGCTTTCTTTAAAGATTGTCATGCATGGAAATGGAAATTCTCAATTATTGTTGATAGGAATAACTAGATTCTTCCATTTTACTGGTGATTGCGCCTACCAATCATTTTTACTATCAACATTTCTGTTATAGCTACGAAGTTGCTCATCATAGAACACAGAAAAACATTTATATTCCTTCAACTGCTTTTCAGTTCTAGTAAAACTGTCCAGGAATGAAGAACTCTCCCAAAACATAATCAAATGGGAAAAAAAAGAAGAAACAATAAAGTTAATTGGCTTTTCAGTTCTGCATATGCTAAAGTTAAAATAAAACTATGGAGTGGAAAGTACATGAACTATTTTCATGATTAAATCTACTGGACCATAAAGAAGAATGAGGAAGTTGGTCCATGTGACACAAAAAACAAAAGGAATTACATATATTCTGAAGGAATGGCCTATTCCCTGTATGGCAAAATCTGTAGCCCTTACTTCAGTACATTTTACTGCTCTTTCAAAGAACACCTGCTGAAAATAGTGTAATTCATTTATATTTCTTATTTTATATGATGTTTAAAGTTTTAGTTTGTTCTTGTCAGTACTGTCTAGAGCTTGCAAAATGAAAGTCTACTAGTAAAATATTTATCTGTTCAGCAAAACCATGGATGAAACTTGTAGGGGTTAATACCACCGTCTCAGGGAAAAGCCAGATTGTTTACCCTGATTGCTTTTTCCTTCTTTGTTTGTATTGTATCACTTAAATTTGTCTTGATGCTTCCAGTGAGACAAACTGGAGTGGTAACCCCATCTACAAAATACATCACTTCGTGTTACACTCATTATGGTCATTGGGCTGATTAGGTACCGTAAGTTCATTATTTCTTCTATTGCATGTAACGCTACCATCCAGCTGGTATATATCATAATTCTTAAAGTTAGTTGCGGATTATGGCACAGCAAAGGTGGTTTTAGGATTTATCGTGTAAGAATTCTAGCATTTTTATCATGTGTCATATTGACGAGGTCTGAACTTTGTCTGCCAACTTCCATTTTATTAGAAGAGCCGCTGACGTGTTTAATTAGTATCTCATCTTGTACAAAGCATGTTGCTCTATGGTATCCATACCATTCTATGTTTTGCCAGGTTTCACCTGTTGTCATGCAGATAGCGTGATCTGTGAAAAGCCGTCTTGCAATCTGAATACCTGTGTGGTTCGACTCAATGATCTTTAAGGTCTTTTCCAACCTATCAGAGCTAACTCGTGACAGTAAATGTATTGGTGGCTTGTGGATATCTATGTAAGGTAAAATTCATGCAAACTGTGACAATTCCAGTCTGGACAGCTTTATTGGTTTTAAGTACAGCATGACCCATTTCTGTATGAAAGTACTAAGAGACTTCAGCCTCTTAATAAATTAAATAAAGCACTAAATAAATACTTTTAACAAATTTTTATAATTTCAGTGTAAATGATAACATGTAAGAATATTTGGAAACAGAGTATTGGCTCCAAGTGCTCAGGCCTTGTGTTCCATATGTCACCACCCTTTCTTCCCCAAGCCTGGCTGTAAGGAAGTTGCCTCATTAAGTTCAGTAGTCTATAGCTGCTTGTAAAAAAATAAAGTAAAATTCAGAAGGACATGTTACTTTGAAATTTCACATCACTCTGCTTTAGAAGAAGAGATTCTTATGCAAAAAGAACATTGGTAGTATAGTAGTATAGTTTGTTGTAGAAATCTACAAATGGGTGAGAACATTGGTAGTATAGTTTGTTGTAGAAATCTGCAAATGGGTGGCTCTGCTCTTTCTTCTTTTTATAGATCTGATCCTGCTCAGTTTGACCATTGACTTAAATGCAGACAGGTTTGAAATCTGCTCTCAAAATACTGATTAGGTCTCAGGCATTTTCTCAGAATCTGTTCAGGAAATGTCAGCATCTGTTCCTACAAGCAAGAAGTGTTTTCTTTGAGTAAATGGCTGTTTCAGCCACGTAGTCTGCTGTTTGTCAGCATAGCTTCCTCAGCTCTGTGCTCCTGAAAAATGATTTGAACAAACAGGTAAATGCTTACGATGGACTTGAAACCCACCCAAGCAGCAGGGGATTTTCTTCATCTGAATTTTCAGTCGCTTTTGGCAGTAAAGTACTTTGAAAAAAGGCCAAGGAATTTATCCAGTTCCCATCATTAAAAAAATGATTCCAATGCTAGGAAATCACTGAGCTCCCAATAGGCAAGAGCAAGACCCACCTATGAAAAACATTTACCTGATTAAATAAAAGTACATGCTCTTACCTTAAAAAAAAACTAGATAGGCTTCCTCCTCTTTTCACTTTTTTGTAGCTGCTGGCACATCTTTCTCCTTACCTTCTGAGAGAAAGTGAGCCATGCTAAAATCTTGCTTGTTGGTCTTGTATCGTATCACAGAGTTCACTGTGCTAACATTTTATTGCATCTTCAAAGACATTCAACTTGTCTTCACACTGCTGAGACTTCCTGCTTGCTCTGAGCAAACTTCCCTTAAAGCTTCCCTTCTCTGCCTTCTGTAAGAGCCACACATAAATGTGAGTGCAAGCAGAGACAGGCAGCCCAGTCCCCTCCCTTCTGGGGGTAAGCTCTGGAATGTTGGATGTTAGGCATCCCTTCCTCAATCCCATTTTTATCTAATTAAGCAAATTCTTAAAGTGTGTGTTTGATAACTATGTTTTTTTTTTTTTTTTTATTAACCTTCTGCTGACATGGTTGCCATGTGAGGAGTTTTGCAACATGGAATGCTGGGAAGGGCAGCTGGCATTGGTGAGGAGCAGAGGCAATGTGCAGCGGAAACTCATGTGGGCATGCAGCCCAGGGCTGGCACTGGGACAAACTGGTATCCTGGCTGCAGAGCAAGGGAGGCAGTGATCAGGTGACTGCCAGTATAGTGAAGAGCAGGCACACTGACATCAGCATTTTTTAACATTACTGGGTACTGCTTTTTTAATGAGTTGTCATTTCCTTAGTTGTCATATACTGAGAATCTCCACATCTCTGAATTAATTTGACATTTTGGATTCTCTATGATTCTCGGCTCCACAGTTATCCACTGGGTGACAGTGACACTGGTTGTGATTGGCTGTGGCAGTGCAGTTATTGTGCATGTGCAGTACCTCTGATCTTCCAAGAGCATCGTATCTGAGCACTGGGATGAGGTACAGGTGTGACATAAATCAGGGCATGACCCAGAGACAAATACAAAGAGGGTGATCTCTGGAACACAGCTAATGCAGGAGTACTTCCAGTGCTTAGATGATGACTAGCACAAGCAAGAGCAACTGCTGTGCTCTGTGAGATCAACCTACAACGAGACGCCTGAATTCAGTGTTCATTGCTGACCGGACAATTTTAAATAAACTCTCCTTGTTCCAACTTCCCAGCTTTGGCATCATGTTACATTGTATTCTGATCCTTTGTCAGTGATATGGTGGATTTTTACTATAATCTGGATAATTCCAGAGGTTGGAAATACAAGGTGCTTGTAGGGAATTCATTGCATCCCTGTGGATTACCTGCAAAATGCTCTCTTCAGAATAGGAGAGTAATAACTTTTGCCTTCCTCCAAAGCACAGATCTTTTCAGTCTTCAGGTTTCTGAATGAAGTTCATGAAACTTGCTAACACCTGTATTAGAGTAGCAAGATTTTTGAGACTGTGTTGCCAGACTCCTGCTGTCCAACATCTGGGCTCCTGTTTGGCTTTGATGTCCTCTAGACTGAGGAGGCAACAACTGTTACAGGTGTGCTCACAAGTATCTGCTTCATTGTTTCATGCTACAAGAGGTGAGCACCAAGCCTTCCATAAGCTACTCTGAGCATAGGGAAGTGATGGAGCTAAAAACACACCATGATTGAAAATTTTTGTTAAAGGATGGCTAATTTTAGTAAAATTACCTGCTTTCCTTCATCTCAGAAACAACATCTCTTTTGTTATGGTTTCTCACCTTTAATAAAATTATCAGCCTGAGGCAAAGAATGAAGCATGGAGAAGTTTAGCTCCAGTGACCGAAACTTAGGAAAAGTTGTTAGTAGAAGTATTGTTTATTGTGGAGCTTTATTGGGGTAGATAGAGTATGCCTGCAAAACAGTGAACTTGACCACTAGTCAGATTTTTCATAAGCAGTCCCACAGTTGCCTGCTTTCAAGACAAATGGAACACAGGGAAGGCTTGGTCTGTCTACGTGCATGTACTGTGATAGCAGAGGTTTTTAGACTCATTATGCTCTGTTTCACCATGGTGTTACTCGCTATAATTATTTTTCCTGAAGGAACAAACTTGTGGGTTCTGATTACATGGAGGTATCCCAGATGCTCAGATTCAAAACACCTGTTTCTAGTTGTTGGCTTTAGTTGGTGTGATCCACATCGCTGAATATTTTTGTCTTCGATACAGCCAGCATCCCATCAACCCATTTTTCCTGGGCTAATTCGGAAAGCCATTTTTCACATTCTCTCTTTGGCAGATGAGTCTTCAAATAGAGGTCATTATAGGACAGCTTCACAAAAAAGAGAGGACGTGATTTTACAGCTAGCAGTTGTTGACTAGTACCCAAGAAAAATGGATGTTTGTGACACAGCAAAGCTAACTGCATGCATCATAAATGTAAATGCCATTAGCGGAACAAATGCTTTGCATTTGGTGTGTTTTTGCAAGTCTGACCAGGATGCCAAACTGTGTACATTAGTATTTCAAACTCACCTGAATAACTTGATACTGTATGGAGAAAGTGGATGTTTCTAGTCAGTCTTGCTCTCCAGAGTTGCATTTGCATTCTGTATTCTGTTTCTGGGTTGACATAGTGCCTGCGATCTGCCTGTGTGAGATCAGTGCCAGTATTGACAGTGTCTCAGTCCCAGCACATTACACACTAGTGGCACTGTGTTCATATAGTTGTGGCCCAAGTTTTATTTCTTAGTTTCTTCTATAACTAAGAGTTCATCTACCTTTTCTCACATTCTTTTTTTTCAGTAACCACATTATTTGACCATCCAACACACTATCAAGGACGTGGAATGTGTGGTAATACTTTAACAGTCTTGTTTTTTGTCACTGTCTTGGTTTAAGTGCGATGAGTCCTTCCTATTTATTTGTTCATATTGTGTGAGGGTTGCAGGAGGTGTAATATACAGAGCTTCCAGATTTGTTTTGCTACACTGTATGCTGCTCTTTCTGCTAAGTTATGTTGTATAATTTGTAGTATAGTGGTCTCAGAGGTTTGGTTATGCATTTTTGGCTCATAACTTTTTTTCGTAGCTGTCTTTTCTTCAGCATTCTCTGAAACAATGATCAGTGACTGTTGGTGCTGTTAAAATACTCCAATTTTGCAGGTAAAGATGTGGAGAGGGTACCCTACACCTCTTCCTCCAGTGCTGCTGAAATCCCTTCTGTGGAATGTGCTCAGAGAACAGTGCTGCTGGCGTACTCGGGGCTGTATAATTAGTTCCCTTGTTGTGAACAATGCTTTATCTCCCTCCACAGTGCCCAGCTACGAAACAGCATGATTTTTTCTGGGTTTAAAGTTTGAGTGTGTTATTCAGAGTTTGGGATTCTTGTTTGGAGACTTAACTCAGAGTTGGTTCTTCCTTCTTCAATAAAGACTTTTTAAAAGAAAAATCAAGAACGGTATGAGTCAATAGCTTGTGCCACTCCGTGTCATGGTGTGCAATTTGGAAGCTGTACTGTTCAAATTCTGATGTTTCTTTTGTTCTGGATCTTTCTTTCTTGCTTGAATTTTCACACCTTTCTTTTGCCTTTGTCTTGAGGTGCCAAACACATGACCCACACAGTGACAGGGCACTGCACATTTTTGGGAACCTCAAAACCCTTCACTTTTATGTGGTGAATTGAGTTGGTGCAAAACTCACTTGCCTCTGTGTTTTGTTGGTATAGCACAAGTTGGTAATGTCAGGAGAAAAACCTCAGTATTTTTTAAGTGAAAAACTGCTCAAATCACTGAACTTTGCATATGAAAGTACAGATATACCTTACTTCTCATTTTTTACAGGAGCACTGAGAAGCACTTTGAGTTCTTATTCAAGACAACACAAATGAGCAAGGGCAGGTAAAATGTTAAGATCTGGAAATTCTAATGAATGTAGAGTTAGTGTTGTACAGCTTAGATGTGTTTAACCTGTGCACCTAGACAGTAATAATGCAGCTCCACAAGATCATAAACTTATAACGTTATTATTTTAGAGATATTTTTTATGAGTCAGTTGCACACAGCTTTACCATGGGCTGCGTAGAAGATGAAAATGCTGTGGAGAGTGCAATGCAATGCCAACTCTGCCTCTCACACCCACCATAGTGTGCACAGTTGAATCGAAGCCTGTGTGTATTACACATTACATATGCTTGTGCCAGTTGACAAGTAAAATACAGCAATTATCAATAACAGTATTTCAAATTACCTACACATGCATGTGTGCCTGTGAGGACATGCTATACAATCAGTAAGCGTACAGAGGTTAGGCTAAGTAGGATTATCACAGTGGAAAGACAATAAATGAAAAATGCTCACCAATGTTGTAGGCTCACAATAAACTCCACAAGGAGCAATCTCCAGAAAGAGATCCTTCCTCAGTGATAGTCGGTACTTAAATGGGATCTAAGAGAGGTGGAGCCAGGCTCCACCCCTTCCAGTACCACAAGTGAATTGCCTTTACCTGTGCTCCTGTGGCTGACTCACTGCTTGCCTCAGGTGGCCAATCAGAGGTTCAGGCCACGATCAACAGTTCCCACGGACATGCATTTTTTGTTATTAAACAGATGTGGTTGTTTTATTATTTAATTATTAAAATTGGCTTTGTGTGATTTTGAAAAATAATAAGGTAACACATTAATTGCAGAAGAAATATCCGGAACACTTGTGTATGTCACAGTTTTAGCTGAGGCAGTGTTAAGAAAGCATCAATGTTTTGGTTGTTCCTGAGTGACTGGAGTGTACCCAGGGCTGGGCTGCTTGGTGGAAGAGCTGCTACCATTATGGCATGGCAGCGGATGGAGTGAAGCCAGGATGGCTGGCTTGAATTAGGAAAGGGTTTAGTGCATACAGCCATGCAGAAGGCTGTAAAGTTGTGTGGAGTTGACTGAGGGCAGCTGCTGCATGGGAATTGGTTGGGTGTTGGTCAGGAGCTGGTGAGACACTGTGTTAATAATTGGGCTGTTGGTCAGCAAACAGTTGTATTGTTAGGTGGGTGCTGGTCATCAGATGTTTTAATAAAAAATGTGAAAAAAAATACAAGACATTTTGTTACTTTTATATAACTATATTACATATTTTATTTACAGCCCAAGACAATTCCTGTGCACTGAGTGTGGTCCATGCGAGCTAAAAGGTTGGACACCCATGATTTAATCCAGGGGAGTTTGTAAATAGTGCTAATCTCTGAGAATTCAAGGTTATTTTCTGCTGCAGCAGATACGCGTTTCCTGCTCTTCAAACTTTACAAGTTCAGTATGGAAAATATATATCTAACGCACAGATCAATTTGCTTTTTATCTCCTAGGACTGCCTTAAAGCTTGTCAAGAACAGATTGAGTCGGTGCTAATAAGCAACCTTAGGCAAGTCCGGCAGCAACAACAAAGCAATCCTTCTAAGACCGTTGAGGAACTGGACCAGGCCAGCACTCCCACAGATGTGAGAGATATCAACCTGTGAGGACATCAGCACAGAAAGTCAGGCTTGTTCTCCCACCCCTTTTATTTTTGTTACTATTCTTAGATTTATTGTTTTTTTTCATCTACTCCCACATAGAGCGTATGTAAAGCTCTTTTAGGTGAAAAAAACTGAATAATGAAAAAAACATTTGGTGCCCATGATGTTCTACAGAAGGGAATCCCGCAGTATATTTGGTAATTGTTATTTGATTATGTATCATTGATATTAAATGCTTATAAAAGCATACAATAGCTAGATAAATGTAAGCCTGCATTTGTGGGAAGAGAGTATACTTGTCTGTGTATTACAACTTACTGCATACACCCCTTTTTTAGATTTAAGAAAGGAACTGTGTGTGCAATTTTATGGCTTGACTAGATTTCAAAGCAGTAGAAGAAGGGCTAGGGCAATGTGGGAAAAGGTCCCTGAAGCAACTGAACCATTTTCAATGCAGAAGAGATTTGCTGATCTGTCACCTCTGTTAGTAGTCAGAAGTGTTTGTTGGATCTTTGTATGTTAGTTTTGTTTACTCTTGCTGTCTGTGGTAGCTGCTACTCAAGAAAGATGTTCTATTTTGCCAGCTAGAAAAGAAGGTGTTGTTTTGTTTTGTTTTGCTTTAAATTCCCCTCTCCCCTATGACTATTTCTACTTCTCCTTCAGAAATGGTTCATTCTAAACACAGCAGCATCTTTGGCATGAGGGCAATCCCTTCTACCCAACTGTGGGCCAAGCTGAAGTTATAGAGTACTCACGGTAAATGAGGGAAATGTAACAAATAATTTTGACAGCTAATCAGACCACCTCCGAACTTTGGATATCAAGATGCAGTGGATCATCTGTGAAAAAGCATTATGTTCCTTTACAGAGATAATGTTTCACATCCATGTTAACTTTTGGCAGCTCTCCAGCTTCGTGTAAAGATAATTAAATGATGCTGTGTCCATTTTCCTCTTTAACGTATACTCACTGTGTTAAAGAAGGTGAGATTCGGTGTGAGACCTATCTACCCAGCTTCCTCCACTGCCCCGTCATGCTTTTTGAGCATTTCAGTAACTTTACTGATCCACAGTGAACATTATTATAAATCATTTCATTCAAAAAGCACTTTGAAAATTGTTCGTAAGGGATTAAATGAAATGGTTTATGACAATTTTGCCAAGGAAAAAAAAAAAAAAAGGAAAAGAAAAAAGACACAAAAGCAAAGCATATAGCTTTTTATAGTCAATATTCTCCAGTATCTGGTGTACTTTTTTTAGTTGTGGTGTTTCTGGAAATACCAACACCTGCTTCAGGTGACATTCCCGTCATGACATTCCGGATAAAAGCCTCATGATTTGTATTGTTCAGTGTCACAGAAGGATCTGAATACCACCAGTATGTTATCCATGGACAATGAAAGAAAATTTGCTGGTGCAAAAGATGTAAGTGGTGAACGTTGAGGTTTGAGAGTTGGATTTTAATTACAAAGGTGTATTCAGTGTACTTGAATTTATTTTTCTGCTCCATCTGTAAAGAAGAGGCAGTTAGTTGGCAAAGAAGTTGGAGCAATTTTTATTTTTTTTTTTTTGCACGATTGTATTAACAGTTTGCAAATATACAGAATGAAGTTGTTGGTTGCAATGTTAATGGTTGCAATGTTCAGACAAAGTCCAGAAAGAACATGCTACTTTGAAGAATATTATATGAATGGACTCAGCTGCATTTGGCTAGATGAGGGTAGAAGATGGAGTAAAGTTTTGGTTATTTGTTTGGGTGTTGTTTTTTTTTTTGTGCGCTGCTAAGAAGCTATGATTTGTTTCATTCTTATTCACATTAACAGTACTTAGCTGTATTGTTTCACTGAGTGTGCTGCTATTTTATAAACGTTTTTATAATATATTATTTTACTGCTTAAATTTCAAATCCTGAAGTAGATGGTTAAGTGGAGATATGATGAATTCTGTGATTTACTGGAAATGCCCTGTACAGGTTGGGTTGTTTTGTTTTTTTTTCCTAATAGCGTGTTTCATGATTTATTTTTATTTTTACTTCCTTTTTTTCTTTCTTTTTCTTTTCCTTCCTGATCACATCCTTCAAAGATGGTATACTTACCTCAGGTTTACTGGACAAGATAAAAATGGTTCCCATTTTCACAATACCTCACAACATGACAGTTACTTATTCCCTGCTGAAGGCCTCAGCAGAGCTATCGGTGCAAGTGGCTGCTTAGGGCCTGTGCTTTGGTCAGTGGAACACAGTTGCACCAGCAGTGTTGGGGAAAAATTGCAGCAAGCAGGGGCATTGGCTCCCTTATGGTCTTTCATAGTGGAAAAAATGCACTGGTTCAAGGGCATATCCAGGAGCACCTCTTGTGCCTCCAGACCCTAATCGTGGACGCGTGGATGATGTGTGTGGTAGCTACATGTCTCCCTCTGGGCACTCCAGTCCCTTGAGGTGCCCACACAAGCACAAGTAATGCCTGGCTCCCACAGGCTTAACAGCTTAGCAGCAGGATGGCGGCCAGCATGGCCACACTCGGAGTCTTGCTGTTCAGAACGGCCAGCTCTGCCTCACAGCCCATGTGAACAAGCTGGCCCAGCTGCCTACTGTGCCTCAGTGGTCGAGTGTCAGCACTCTCCATATCCTCTCTGAGCCCTGAGCCATAGTGCTCAAAACTGCTGCTCTGTGTGCAGAAGTCTCCATCTTGTAAAGAGCCAACAATAACTGCTCTTAGTGAGGCTTGAGGGCTCAAGTGCTCTTCCCCCAAGTGGCTTCAGGGCCACAGCAGCTATAGGGATGGGCATAATACCTCACAGCCTGCAAGAGCAGGTTTCAAACAGCTGTGTTGCTGAAAAATGGTAACTGGATGGCTTTGTTCTGACAATGGCTTTTCACACTGAAAGCACATAAAATTCAGCAACTGCATCACTCTTAAATGAAAGATAGTTAATTTTTGGAAGCATTGTGATTAGCAAGACTCCAAAGCCACATGCAGCACACGCATGAGGTAATATTCCCTGACAGATCAGATCACTCTCTGGTAGCTTTTGCATGCACAAGTTTTTGTGCTAATGCTTAATGGAAAAGCATTCAGACTGTGGGCAAAATGTTGCCTTTTAGCACGGCTGCACATAAAAAGCATGGGCATAAGAGCACTGTAAGCGTTGCACTTACATGCTCTGCTCTTCTCAGTTCTGCCATGCAGCATGGCTGAGTATAGACAGGAGAAATAGCTGTGAGAACTGCCCTGCTCTTGAGAATTACATGAAGTTTTCTTCTATCTTTAATGTGCCATCAGGATGTTGTAGGCTGTTGTAGTGGAAACACAGCCAAGTCAGTGGACTGAGGCGCATGCTTTTTTGCCCTGACAGGTGTACTTGCATGCAGGGAATGAAGGCTGGCCCCATGTTCTGCAGTGTCCTTGTCCACCACATGGCTCCCCATTGAGGCTTCTGTCTGCTGTGTCTGCCCATGCATGGACTGTACATTCATGGTTCCATAGATTTCACTAGAAATATTTGTAAGTGTTGTGGCTCTCACACCTCACTGCAGCTGCAGGGGCAAGTAGTAGGCACAAGATTTGGTTTGGAAGCAACAGCACCTTGCAGGCTCTTGTGCAGCGGAGACTTGTCCACCGCAGAGCGGGCTCATGCAACCACTGTGAGTGTTGGGAGCATCATCCACTGCGTGGCATTCTTTATAAGAATGCGACATACTTGTAAAGAACATGAATAGTTTCACAGGAGCATTCATAACAAAAATATTCTGTAGTGCCCCTTTTAGAAGATGTTAACAAAAAATACTACTATTGCAAATGAGATGTACGATTTTTTTTCTGAATTGCAGATATCATAAAAGTTTCCTGTGGGTTAATTAAAAAAAAAAACCAACTACTGCTGATGTGCCAGATGACTGGCCTGAGTAAAGCATTTGTCTCTCAGCTATTTGTTGTTGGTATTTTGATCTTCTCCCTCCAATGAATGTACAGTAGGAGCACCTCATAATCAATTTATTTGTATTACCAACATGCTCATAAAAAAGAAAAATAGTATATTAGATATTTATTTCTGTGATTTATGTGCATGTCTCTTAAATACTCAGTGAACCACATGGCCACTGGATTTTTTCCACTATGTTCGTTAGTATTTTCTCATGTACCTCAGAAATCACTCTCAGTTGCACAGTTCCTGTTCTCAAGCTCTTTTTTCTTTTTTTGCTTTAATGAGTGTGATGAAATATCAAGTCAGCTATTCTCTCACAATATGTTCTTTAAGAGATATGGATGTTTATATGGTCAGGGAATGCTAGGAAGTGTGGTAGTAGACATGATCAGCGTAAACAAAAGTATTTAGAAAGTATATGAGATTATTTTGGATGGATAAGACTCTGATACAGTATAGTCTTGATTACCTTTTAAAAGGTCTTTTCTGTTCAGTGTTGTCCTTTTTATTAATAATCTGTTGTTTTGACTAGTTTAAAGATGGTTTTAAGAAAAGTGTTCTGGCGGAACTAGGTATGCTGTATAGACAATAAACTCACCTTGACCTAAATTTGCGTGTCTTGTTTTTATTCAGTGTGCAAAAGACAATGTGATTCTACAGCTTTTTATCTAGATAGATCACATTACCAGATGTATAAAAGGAGAACTGTTGAATTTTGCAGTCACAGAAGTTTTCTTCTAGAACATCATTTATCATTAATAAATGATAATGACAAATTCTGATGTGTTTCTTCTGTGAAAAGATCCAGTGAGATTTAAGGAGAACAAAGTCCTAAAAATGATAAGCTTCTAGATTAAAATATTTCTTGGAAATGAAAATGAACTGGTAGAAAAGTCCTTGTAAGTACATGTGAGTGCACAT